GGGGTGGTGGGGGGGGGAGAGACAAGGCTGCCACTTTGACCCCCAGGCCTCCTCCATGTTCCTGTCCTTCCCGTGTAAGTTGCTATGTGTATTAAATTTCCTTTCAGTAGATCCCACTGTCATTTTGTTGGGGGAGGGGAGATAAAGCTCCTCCCCCGCTCCTGGGGCTTCCAGAAGAGCTTGTCTTTGGGAGAAGCTGCTGGGCATCTCTCTCAGTCCCTTCTTTTCTCTTGACAGAGAGGCCCTGGAGGCCACAGGAAGTGACTGCTCCCCTCCACTGAACCTTGTCACACTCCCTTCCTGTCACACTGAGGGAAGCCCCATCCCCTGGTTTCAGTCACTGCTCTTCTACCCAGCTTACTGCAGGTGGGAGGCTGTACTTGTCATACACACCCACACCAGAAACACCTGGTCTGCTCTTGCAGAACCTGTTCTCATGTAACCGAATCCACTTTATCTCCATGAAGGACAGCAGTTAATTTGTCTACTCTCTTTGGGGCTGTGAAGCGCCCTTTGTTCCCAGGCTCCATGCCATGCCTCTGTGGCTTGAGCAGGTGACTTCCACTGGCTCCTCAGAGACGAGACGACACAAGAGACGAGCTCGATTTGTGTCCTTCCAGGTCTCTGAAATGGGCTCAGGGAACTAGAAGCAGCAGCAAGACCCTGCCTTCAACGTGTACACCTGGGTCTCTCTGTTTGCTTCCTGTGTGTTTCAGCGCTGGCTCCAGCTCTCTCTTCAAGCCAGTGGCGGGAGGTTAGAGGCAGAGCTTCTATTAAGAGCAATATAATGGCAGGTAGTTGATGTGAGGTCTTTACCCCAGGTGGGGGCGCCAAACTGGGTTTGGGAGTCCGGAAGCAAAGCACTGAGCTGAAGCACCATGTCTAATTTGGTTAACATTCCCCTCACAGTTCTTAGATGTGAGCTCCACTCATCCTTCCTGTACAGTTTCCACCCACCCCACGCCCTGCCTTTTATGCTCAAGGCCTTCCCTTAGGAGAGCACAGAGATGGTGCTTGGGACACTAACTCAGGTAGGCGCGGGGCCCACTGCTGAAGAGCTAATGGAGAGCCTCCTTCCTTGCCGATGATCGGCATGCTGCAGCGTTTTATCTTGTGGTGCCTTCATCTTCTCCCAGCCTGTCCCCCACCTACAGAAGCAGGATTAAGCCACCTGTGCGCCCCCGGAACACCCGCGAAGCCCTCAGTGTAAACCAGTGAGGTCATTAACTACTAAAACAACCCCCAATTTGTTCGTCTTTGCAAAACGAGACACTTGTAAATTGAGGTGCAGGAGGGAAAACTGGCTGTAGCAGGACGTAAGGGCGCCTTTGTGGAAGAAACAAAGCAGATTGGCCTGCACCCTGCAAACCCAGATTCTCAGGCAGCAGGGCCCAGAGGGCATGGGATCGTGACAGAGGCTGGCTCCGTGACGAACCTCCTGGCACTCTGCGCACCAGTGCCAGGCGGGCTATGCTGTTGCGGCAATTTCCCAGGGAAATCAGGCAGCACTCAGAGAAGTGGAGAAAGAGAGATTTAATCATCACACCAGCAGGCTCAGTGGGATTGGTCCCAAAAGGCTGAGCCCCGAATTATAGGAGTGATGAGGCTTTATACAGTTTGTATGAGGAAACCTGCCATTTTCTATGGCATAGCACAAGTATTTTTTATTGTTCGGGAAGGGGGTCAGGTAGGCGGGCTACCCCTGTAAACGGGGAGTGCAATAAACCAGCAACTTCTCCGCTCCAGCAAGCAGCAAAAAAAAGCAGCAGACTCCCCCAAGCAGCAGACCTAGGGAAGTAGCAAAATCTAAGCAGACATGGGAAATGTCTTGCTTCAGTACAAGTGCAGGGGATGCCAGCAGAACAGGTGAGTGGGTAACAGCAGAGCTACAGGTGACTCGGGTTTATGATGGACCAGGCTGTGCTCAGCACCTCAAACCAGTCTTACATCTAAGCAGGGGCTGCCGTGGGCAGTGAACTACAGGAGGCCCAGCTAACTCTGAATTTCAAGTAACTTTTTTTTTTTCTTATAAGTATGTCCTGGCCCCTCCCTGGAGGCGCAAAGGGTTAAGATGCAGCACCACAAGCTGGCCGCAGCTGCTTCAGTGTGAGTTCAATCCCCAGCCTCAGAGGTGACCCACATGGCATGGCAGACCCCTCCTGGCCCGCCCGCTGCTCCCGTCAGCAGTGTACTTCCTTGATCTGCCTGTTCTGCTCCCCGCTCTGTCTCTGATGAATCCTCTCACCGCCCCTGCACCTCTGGCTTGTCCCCCAGTTCTGTATAAATAAATAAATCTTCTTAAAAAATAAAAATAAAGTTAAAAAAGAATGTTTTTTTTTTAAAAAAGTGTGTCCTAAATATTGCATAGGATATATATTTTCACAGTAAAGAGTCATTTGGCACATACTCAAAATTCAAAGTTGACTTGGCCTTCTATATTCTACTTGGCAGTCCAACATCTAAAATCCGTTATTCTGGAGTTTGAAATCCTCTTGGCTTGGCTTTGCCTTGTATCCTTTGTTGGGCTTGAGTTGTGGGTTGTTCTCTCAGGGTAGTTACAGCCTACTGGCCCCCTCATTCTTCTCCGCCAATGCCTGAGGGTACCTCTTGGCTCCAAGAGACCCAACACCTTGGAGCATGTGCAGAAGACCCCAACCAATCCCACTGGGCAGGGAGGGGGAAAGCTACCGGAGGCCCTGCGGATGCAGCACAGGATTCTAGGTAACAGGTGAGCTGCACAGGACTCAGGCTTTTCTGATTATTGGTCTGTAGGGGCCCCGCCTCCTGGGAACCGCTCTGTCCATCCTGCCCAGCAGGATGAGCTGTTGTTACAAAAGACCCCTGTGGCCCATGGCTTGCCCTTGAGTCACCTATCCCAGCCTGGACACCCCCAATCCCTCCAGCAGCCCCCCACTCCGAGCAAAGCAAAGCAGTCACAGCCTCCTACCATCTCTATTGGTGTCCATCTGGCGGAAGATCTTCTCTGTCCTTTTCTCCGGGGTTGACTCATCTTCAGGCATTTTCATGACGGACGAAACCATCTTATAGATTGCCTGGGGACAGAAGCCACATGGCAGTAAGACACGGACCTTGTCTGGTTTGGCACACCATGGCCTTTTAATTAAGCTACCCAAATATTGGGGTAAAAGGACGGTCCCCCGTTCACACTGGGGCTGGTTCTGTTCCTGCTGACCTTTGGCTGTAGAAAACAGATGTACAATCACTGGTGGAAGGGGCAGGCCAGGGAGCCGCGAGACCTTCAAGAGTAACAACTTGACCACTGGCAGGCAGACCCACTGTACCTCAGTCTCCAGACTCCGTGTCTTAAACCTTAACAAGCATATGAATCCCCCGGGAATCTTTGGAAAACAAGGAATCTGCTCGGTGGGACAGGGTAGAGTAGAGGGAGGTGTCTGAAATTCTGCATTTCCACTAAGCTCTTGTGTGACACTGATGCTGATGTGCTGTGTGCAGGACCCCACGGCCAGGAGCAAGGGTGTAGAGGAGAGACTGGGGGCATCTACTGTGGACTCCTCCTGCGCCCCTCAGGGAGATAAGCGCCCGACCTGCAGTAGGGGTGTGCTGAGCTTCTCCCAGGAAGACATGACCACCCCCTCCCCAAACCTCTCCCCTGTATGTGGCAACTGTCTCATAGCCTTCTCAGCAGGTGCCTAGGTATCCCCAAAATGGAAACAACCTGACTTCTGAGTTTTGGGTTGATTACGCAATCTCAGGCTTGAGATAAACTGGGAACATCTAAATCTGTTGGCTCAAAGCAGGTTCTACTGAAAGAGTTTTGCAGTCAGTACTGGCCCCAACTTCCCCACCATCTGTGCCCTCTCTGCAGTATCCCAAGAGCACCTGAAAGTCCTCAGTTGCCAAATGTTTTATTTTGAGAAGAATAAAGTCAAGTTATTGTTTTATTCCTAGACCATGACTTTGTGAATCAGATTCATTTGGGGAACTCTAGTCCTGGGAAGGAGTTTTGGAAAAAGTAATTTTTGCCAGGTGGTAGGCAGGAAAAATCTGGAAACTTCTGGAGCTCCGGATGTAGTGGGGTAGCTGGAGAGAGGAAAGAAGGGAAGACAGCTGAGGGGAAGTAAAAGTGGGAAATATGGGAGCAAAAATCAACACTAAAGGCTAAATTTGTCTGCTTGACAATCTTGTCTAAGTCCAACTCCCTCGAACCCCTAATTCGTTCTGGAGAAAAGGGTGTAGATGTTCCTATCTCAGTAGCCAAAATAGGAATGAATAAGGGCCATAGTGCTGGCCCTTGAGCTGGTCTCCCTTCCCCTAATTCCCTCCCTCCCCCCTGCCTCCACAGACCCATCAGATCAGGCTCCCCGAGTCCATCTGGAACCCACCCACAGACCTGCTTCCATGATGACTCCATCTAGGAGGAAGGTCAAGCTCAGAGCACAGGCTGATTTGGGATTGCGGATGTCAGGCAGGTAAGCTCGGTCAAGTCAGCTTCCCCAAGAAATGCTCACTGAAATGTGCTCTAGGGTAAGAGGCCAATTGCACTCCGGCTTCTCCCTGAATCCTACTTCTCTCTTCTAGTCTGCAAGGTCTACCCCTCCAGGCCTACACCTCCTCCCGAGCTGGGGTTGTAACGCCAAGGTATCAGCTGTAGGGAATAACTGATTCCTTAGGGAAGTGAGAAAAGACCATGGAGAGAGTCCTTTCTGCCGATGGAGACAGAGGCCCTGAGATTTCCCTGGGGCAGGTGAGTGGCTCACAGTTGGAGGCCCGCCACTCCAGTGACATCCTGGGGCTAGCGTCCTCTGCTCATTGTTTCTACTCCTACATGGAAGCTTTTCTGTAGCTCTGGACCCTCAAAGGGGAATCAGTGGCACCAACCAAAGAAAACACACACACACTCACACACATCCCACACAGATTTGAAACTTCCACAATCTAAATATTTTGTGAATTCATAAGTCAAGCGATCTTTGAACAGAAACAGCAAGAGAATGTAGAAATCAGCACCCACTAGATTCATCCATACCACCTTGATAAGAAAGAGCTGCCATATTTTAGGTGTGGCAGAGGTGGCGTGGAGGGGCATTTGTGGGCAAGGGAAAGTTTACCCTTTGCTGGAAAGGGTGCTGAGTAATTACACATCTCCCGTGTTCAAGGACAGGTTGTCCCGTCCCCGAGTCCAGCCAGCTCTTAGTGAAACCCTTGCACTTGGCAATTCCAGGTGCCATCTGCCCGGTATCCGCCACTGGCAACAGGTGTAATGTCTGGGGCTGGGAGAACAGAGGCCTCATTTAAGAGGCTCTCATTTCCAGATGGGTCTTTCATAGCACTCAGAGTAGAACTTTTTTTTTAATGTTCATCGACTCAGAGATAAGAGATCAGTGAATTATTTACAAAGCCAGTCTATGATGTGGGTGGCACTAAAGCAGTGAGGAAAGAGCTGAGGTGATGAGTCCCAGAGGTTCCAACAGTGAATAAGTGGATGGAAAGCCTTGCAAAACCACATTTGGGCAACTGTCTGTCTCTTCATGCCTTCCCAGGGCAGCAACTGGCAGTGCTGATGGTAACAGTATGTCAATATCTAGGACTGCACAGCCCAGGGAGGGAAAAGACACAACCCCAGACAGCAATCTGAAACAAATCATGGTTTTTATTAACTCCAGCCTCCCCTCTCCCCCAATTTAATGGGATTAAACCATGAAGAGGTTTATTTTTAGCCATGTCAATGAGAGGCCCAACAGGGACATCCTGTTTTTAATTAAACTGGGAGAGTCCCATGCTTGTCCCTGGGTGAACGCAGAACTACAGGCCAGCTGGGAGCCTGCTCTGCCTCTGGCCCCCACAGGCTTGGACACTGCCTGGCCTGGGGCCTGGGGCCGTACCAGCATCCACAAGGCCTGTACCTTTCTTCTTTCCTTGGAATGAACCACCTCTTGCAGTGTTGGAAAGGAAGGATTCAAATCTGAACCAGTAAAGAATGTGGGACAAGCTGAGGACAGGCTCAATTCCTAGAGTTAAATCTCACTCTTCTTAAAAGAAGCAGGCTGACTCCTTTATCAGAAGACACAGGGTCTTCGAACAGGAGATCCACAGCTCATAATGATCAACTAATGGCCAAAAAAAGCTAATCATACAGGGTCATGCTTAGTTTACAGAGGTTCCAACAGTGAGTAAGTGGATGGAAAGCACCATGCTAGAAGGATATTCCTTGCCAGGAAAGAAGGGTGGAGAGAGGCCGTGAGAATCTTTCTTGGAAACACTTTTAAAATAGGATCAATATCGATGTGTCTGCAAGAGCTTAAGTACCTTCTAGTTTAGAGCTAGATGAATCCATTAAATCAGTGACTTTTGTAATGTTCTGCTCGAGTGCTTTAGGCCCTTTCACAGGCAGGGAGGGATGAGCTGGGAGGTAGGGGCACAAACCCCTGTTCAGTGAAATCAGCCCTGTTCTTTTATTTGGCTTCCTGTAAGATTTGAATGCAAGAAATTTATCATTGCCCCTCCCCCCACGTCTTTCTTAAAAGCACATGGCAAGTAGCCCTACTTTCATCCTACAGGCCAATCAAAGACATTTTGGCACCTCTCTACCCGCCATAGGCAGGCAGACACCAGACCTACTCTACCTGCCTTCTTCATATTTTCCTAAAATTTCATTCCTGCCCATTCCCCTTGCCACCAGCCAATTTTAATTCCATAGTGATACCCCTCACTTAGATAAGGGCAGTTTTAGTACATTTTTTCAGTAACTGTTATTTAGAGGCCACTTTAAACAACAATGGCTTCTTCCAAAGAAGCCATTGGCTTTTCAAAACCAACATTTTGGCACTGCTGTGGTTTATTTAGGCTTCCATATTTTGGATGTGGGAGTGGGGAAAGGGGGCAATGATGAGTTCGCTTTTGGAATATTGATTGTGAGGTAACAGTGTAACATGTTAGTGGAGATTTCCATGAACATACTAGAGGTGCAGGTCTAAAAGAAGTCTGTTTCTCTATCCATACAACAGGGCTGAGGTTGTGCAGGTTAAATAAGATCGTACACATATACTAGTGCCTGGCAGAAATTCCCATCCACACAGAACCTGTTAGTGTGAACTGCCTTGGACACAGGGTCTTTGCAGATGTAATCAAGCTAGAATGAGAACATACTGGGTCAGGACAGGCCCTAAGCTGATACCTGGTGTCCTTATAAGAAGAAGGAAATAGAGACCCAGGCGCATGGGAGAAGTTCAGGTGATGATAGAGGCAGAGCAGAGCGCTGCCGCTGCCCCAGACAATGCTGGGACCCCTTTCAGCTTCTAGAAAGGCCCATCCTTGCCCATACTTGGGTTTTGAACTTCCTGGCCTCTAGAATGATGACAATTAAAATTGTTATTGTAAGTCATCCAGTTTCTGCTAATTTGTTACTGCAGCCCTGGGAAACAATTTCAGCTGGAAAGCACTTATCACTATGCCTCGCCCCAAACAAGCACTGAGAAGATGAGAGCTCCCGGCGGCAGTGAAAGGAGAACAGGGCTGTGGCTGGAGTCCCCAGGTTTATGGAGCTGGAGAAAGAAGACGAGTCCACAAAAGGGACAGGAAGGAGCAGCCAGAGACGGTGTCCTGTGGGTAGCAGGCACTTGCTGGTGTTACCAGATGGCATATTTGATCTGAGAGTTCACTCAAACTCTCAAGCTATAGAGTGGCTTGCCAGAGTAAGAGTAATTCTCTAATAAGAAAGGGATAAACCCAACACAACTGATACAAAAGCACTGAGGTCAGAAACTTAGACAATGTCACTAGCCTAAGCAACTGTTTCAAGAGTGTTCTCCAGGAAAGTAATCTAAGTTGCATTCCAGAGTAACATCTGTGATCCACACTCATAATTGAGAATTATGGCAAGAGGAAGAGAATTAGGCAAGAGTTTGGGGCAGAATTCCCAGAGGCCATATCAAGCTGCACTCAAAGCTCTTACTGCTGCTTTTTTTTTGTTTGTTTTTTTTTCTTTTTTCAGAAATAGAAGAGCACAGTGTTTCGAGTCTCCAAGGAATACATTAAATGTGACATAGTGTCTATGAAACCAATTTACAAAGAT